CTGTTCTGCCGCAACCGATAGAGAGTTTAAGGAGTCCAAGTTTCAAGAGTATAGGTGGTTCACAATTGGGTGCATTGGAGCAACAATCAAATTACTCTTCTTGTTGTACCGAGTCTCTTGGTGGTGGTGGAGAGATCTCACCTGCTTCTACTAGTGATTATAGGCGATGGTTAAGATGATTCCAAATCAACGGTCATGATTTTTTTCTTCTCATTTTTTAAAAATGTTCTTTTTTTGTTATATATAAATAATTTTGTTTTTGTATAAGAAAAAAGAACAATGACTTTTTAGTTTGTGTTGATGAGCTTTTGAGATTGGTGTGTAATGTGTTCTTTTGTGTGTGTGTATTTTTGTAGCTAATAAAAGAGGATTTGAAAATGTTAAAACTCTTAAAAACTAGTTGATCTCTATATGAAAATGTTAAATCTTTTTTGCATGTATTCTAACAAATGAATGAGAAAATCAGGAACTTGGAAAATGATTGCAATTAGACTATCAACTAAATTCTAAGATAATTGTTATGATCTAAGCAATGATTGTATAGTTGGTATTGTTTAAAACAATAAAGTAGGAATTTGGTTTGTCCACTTTTTGATTTTGATTATTTTAATTATGCAAAAGTGAATGTTAATTTTTAAAATGTCCATAACAACAAAAAAAAGGCTGCAACTTTGCAACTTGAGACACGAGCAAAGAACATCACCCATGTGACATGATTCCAAACACTATCAGTCTTGTCTTCAACGTTACACACAACTCCATAGCCACCTAAAATGATAAATGCTTCTTAAATAATAGAATACAAAATCAATAAACACTATGAAACCTATTAATTTGACCAGAGTTTTGTAAATTATTGGTTTGTATTAGCGTCCTCCTAATGTAATTATCCAAATTTGATTATAACAATGTGCTGGCAAAAAAAAAAAATGTGCAGTCATATTGTAATGGCCTAATGTAATGTTTAGCTTATTATTACATGCTTATCTTCTTTCTTTTTCTTGTTCGCCTGAATTACAAAGTCGGATACACCAGAAATATAACCCAATAATTTACAAGAAAAACATTCTCCGAAAAATTATTCAAAAAAGAAAATCCGAAAGTTTATCCAAGTTTGGTTATGGTAGTGTACAGGCTTATTGTAATGGCCTAATGTAATGTTTAATCACTAGCTAAAATAAATGAACACCATAAGATAAAAGCGTTTAATTAAAGACGGAAACTTCGCAATTAATTGACTAACAACAAGCAAAAACGGCACGCAGTTTCCATCTCCCCGACAAAAACAGCAGGTGCTGGCGTATCTCAGGATGTCCAAACTTGTTTAAGCGGGGGCTTCATGGAGGTAAGCCCAATAAAATCAAAATGGGCCTAAAAAGCGTTTTTTTTAGGGTTAGTGTGCGTTGCATGTGATCGCAGCCCACGAGTGGTAAAGTGTCTTCTTCCACCGGAGGAGATTAGAGAAAACAGCCGACGAGTTTGAGTTTAACAGTTTTCGTCGGATATCTTCAATCACAACCGAAGCGAAATCCCTAATTTCCCCAGAAATACTAATTTCCCCCAATTCGAAACACACAAACACGGTCTGGTATGCCGAGAAAATTCTCCATTTCTACTTTTCTTATACATTTGTTTTGGTTGTTTCGTAGATTTTTCTCTCTCATCATCTTCTTCGATTTTTTTGGTTCACTCTCTC